TGCCCCCACCCTCATTCGTCCCTCTCTGGGCCCTTGAGCAAGGCCCTTAAGGCCCACCATCTGCTCCTCCAGTGTCCTAGATAGCAGCTCTCTGCTCCACACAGAGGGCTGTGGTAGCTCAGTGTCTGTGGTTGGATCAGGAAGGACATCAGGCGTAAAAATAACTGCCAAGTCTTCGTGCAACTTAGTTCACTGTGGCGACCCCTTAAGAAGGGAGCAGCCGAAAGAAGAAAATTTAAATATATATATATATATATATATATAATTTTACGAATCGAATTACTGTATCCTGAAAGTTTTGCCACACATGTGAAACCCATCTTTCTTTGCAGGCTCCATGAAAATAAGCTCTTCTATCATAAAATGGTGAAACTCCAACACAAACGTGTGTACACAGGGTTTTCAGGAATCCATTTAATTTATTTACGCTAATGAAGTGTGGGCAGTTGGATGGACAGAGTGAGCATTTGAGCAAAATAGCATTTCAGTATTTCTGGTTGGACAACAACTGCTGGCACTAACGTAGTGCTAAGCTCAAAGTTTCTTTATTGTCATTCGCACCACATGTGGTACATGTGGTGGAACTAAATTGTGTACACAGGGTCCCAGTTACATCCAACAAAAGTATAAATTGTAAAGAAAAACAGCAATAAGATCTAAGATATGAACTAAGAAATACGGTAAACTAAAAATACACTCAGCACTAGTAGTACAACAACAATATGCCGAGCAACAGCAGCATGAAATAAATCAGCAGCATGGACAATCAGCAGCATATATCAACAATCAAGTGGTATTAGAGTGATTTTTTTTCACTGTGATTATCCTGGTTAGAGATTCATGAGTCTAATAGTCTCAGGGTAGAAGCTGTTCCTCAGTCTAGTGGTTCTGCACTTAATGTGGTCAGGTGAGTTGTTGTAGGTAACCAGGAAAACCTCGAGTGGACATTTACTGGTTTCAGTATTCTCCTGTTAATCAAGTGGAATGGATGTGTTCATAGAGACATAGAAACAACGCTGGGTAAACAACAAAGTCCATGCTCAATAATCCAGGTATACAATCCAACATTTTTCACTCAGGTCATCTGGACAGTTTCTTTTTTTGTGTGTGTGCTGAAAGCAGAACTGGTTTGTTCCACTTTAGAGTGAGCTGTTGGGAGAAGAATCAGTTTTGTGTTGTGTGTTTCCTGGACTGATGAAGCCTTCCGGACCGAAGGCGAAACGTTTCAGCACAAAAAAAGAAACTGTCCAGATGAGAAAAATGTTGGAGTGCTGGGTGAACTAATATTTCATGGCAAGTGTGTGTGTGTGTGTTTCGGGGTGAGGGGGAGGGGTCCGTAATTTTTTTTTTACGTGAGGGGGACATGTCCCCTTCACATATTCTTGATGTGACGCCTATGGGCTGTTTACAGTCAGAGCTAAACCACTTAAGCAAAAAGAGGATGTGCCCACTAACCATTTCTTGGCAACTGAGAATCTCTGGTTTGGTTTAAAGATTGCTGTACACAGCTGGTGGCCATGTACAGTACCTTGAAGGAGCTGGAGCAGTTTAGGAAAGATAAACAGAAAATATTTCTAGCAGCTAGACTGACTGTGTTTGTAAAGTTGTAACTGAAGAGACTTGATGCTGGAACTGATGCAAAAGGTGGCTCTGTAAAGTGCAGACTTCAGTGGAGGATTGTAATGGATACTTAGATTTTCTGTCTTTTGTTGTCTTATTTTGTTTGTTTCACAATTCTAATAACAATGAAATGACTCTTTAAAGTAGTATTTTTGTATATGTTTGTACATCAATTATATGTGCAGGGGACATGTCCCTCTCATATTAAAAAATAAATAAATTTGGTACCCCCCCCCCCCCCCACACACACACATATTTACCATGAAATATTAGTTAACTCAGCGCTGTTTCTATTTCTTCGTGAACTAATCCATTCCACTTGATTAATAAGAGAATACTGAAACCACT